TTATTACAGGATCTGTTTCATGTTTGTCATGGTAAAACACTTATTTCATTCCATTAGCTTCATGTCAAATGTACAGTACATCCATAGGACAGTTCCACCTAGTTTTAGGTGATATCCAATAAAGTAAAATCTATATATATATATATATATATATATGTACACTGTTGCCCATAAAGTTGGAATAATTTTGTTTTCAGACACAATCCTCTGTTTATTCCTATTTAAATGCATCAGTAATCACTTTTGACCAGGTGCAATGATTACATTATGTGTCCCAATTACCCAGGTGAAATGGATTCATGCATAACATTTGTTTGGCGCTAAAAAAATATTTAAAAAAATATTTTACTCCAACTTTATGAGCAACAGTGTATATATCATTTACAGTGAACTATACCTATAACTTATAATATCTCATTGTAGGACTATAATGAATATTTAAGTAAACTGCTTGAGATTTACATACATTGAGATAAACATACAATATTAATACAGATCCCCTCAGTTTGGTTGTTATTCACATTGTGACCAAGAAATATAAGAAATATAAAGTGGTACTTATTACAGTTGGAAAATCATCTTGTCAGTGCTCTCTGATAGGCAAGCTAGATGGTGACTGGTGGTGTTGGTGTTTCTAAGTGTTTCACTTCTTGTTACTTATCAGCCGACTTGTTCAACAACACTGAGATATCTGCAATAAGCTAATAGCAGGTTATAGCTTAACGTTAGTTAAGATTAGCACCATCTTGACCAGATACAACATAAGAATGCTGCTTACTCATTAAAGTATGAATAATAATAATGCAATAATATCCACAGTAATATAACAGTCTAAAAGAAGGCTGTCTGCTTAACAACTCTTTTTAATTTTTGATCATTTCTGCATTTTGCTGTAAATACTTATCCACTCTTATTTGACTAAAATTCTGAGGCAGGACTTTTAATTTTTATAGTGTAGCATTGTATTGCTACTTTTACTTCACTACAGGCTGACTTTTCCACCACTGTGTGTGAAGGCTGCACTGAAGTACAATGAGAGAATCAGAATATAGGACACATGTTGGGTTGAAGAACCCTTCCTGCTTCAGTGTGCCCCAGCCTGGTTGGATGACATATGGTGCCTTCTGCTCTGCCAATCGGCTCTCGAAGGTCCCCTGCTAAAACTGCATTGGGAGAGATATGAACTTCTATTTACAACTGGAGGCTTTTTTGGTTCTAACTTTGCAAATCTGATGATCATATGAAGGCGCTGGTGCCACCATGTAGGGCACTGTGCCACTTTTCAGAGGGCCTGTGCCCTATTTTTGGGAGACCCTTGCTGTGAATATCGAATGGGTTACTCAAGTGAAGGGCTGCTCGCTTGAAAAGCATTTCAGCTCACAGCTATAAGGACATAGAGGGGAAGAGGTGCACACTAAACATACTGTATAGAGCAGAATTTTATTCTCTGAGGTAAAACGTGACAGGAAATGAGCTAAGTGGTGATGATGTCTGCTGATTGATAAGAGGCCGGCTTTGCTGTGGTCAGGCTCATTTTGGCTTGACGGGAAGTGGCCGAGTCCATTTAGAAAACTGAATGGTCAGATGGGAAACTGACTGTAGGCAGTCATGAGTTGGTGGAGGGGGTGGGGGGGCACATGGCAACGATGTTACAGTGACAACACAGTGTCAGTCGCTGAGGTTTTGTTGCATAATGCAAATCATTCTCTCTCTAAACATTCAAGGCATGCAACTTCAGTGTCACAGATGGCCTCATTTTAACAATTAAATAAAAGATTACCCAGCGGTAAAGATTGCAAACAATATAATTGACATGGTGCTTGGAGATATGAGGGGAAGAATAAGACTTGATTATGTGAGCGTGTGAGATGAATTGATTTGCTGCCTCCTGGAGGTATAAGCTGTCTGGCTTTGTGTGTGTACGTTTGTTTACATACTACATGCCTGAGGTTTGTGTGCTGAAAGAGACAAGGTGATAGTGAGAGGAGGCGACCAGCCTAATCCTCAGAGGGCAGACAAGTGCTAATAGCTCACATCAGTGCTGGTGTGGGTGATGGCTCGCGGAGTGTGAAGAGGTGGTGAGCTTATTGAGCAAGACAGACACAGAGTCGATGAAGCATCACTGAAATTCATCACCTTGTCAGCAATGTCTGAAAATCAAGGCTGAAGATAATGCTGGAGAAATATTATATCATTATTTATGTAATGTAAATGTTAGAAATGCAAGCCTGCTGGGGGGAGGGGGGTGGGGGTTCTGATTCATTTAAAAAAAATACATACAAGAGAGCGATCTAACAGATGATTTATTGGGTAAACACTTCACACCTCAGTGGCAGAGCTGCATTAGCTGAAAGTTTACCGGTCATAAAAGACTTTGTTATCACCGCGAGGGTCTGTGCGGTAAAGTGGTTTTAGCCCTCGAAGGGGCAGTGAACAGGAGAAAGCGGGGGGGGGGGCAGAGGGATTCAGTGTTGTTCAAAGGCTGGAGAAACCTGATATCACTGTCTGTGTGAGAAGAACGTTTATACTTCAGCTTCACAAAGTACAATGGCATCAACTCCAGCCACCCCAGTGGCTCACCTGGTACAGTGCCTGCCATTTAGGCTCAGTCCTTACTGCAGTGGCCTGGGTTTGAATCATACTTATACCCTTTGCTGCATGTCAACCCCCCTCTCTCTCTCTCTTAGCCTAGCCTCTCTTTCCTGTCACTCTCTCACTGTCCCTATTATAATAAAGCCAAAATATTACTACTAAAATAGCTGTCTCAGTTTGTCCTCTGATGGAGCCACAGACCAAACTTTTAGGATATTTTGATGCAAATATTTTTGCACTTTTACCAAAGTAAAATTGTGAATGTATGACAGTGCTATTTCTATTTTTGGTTGCGTTTGCTACATTTAGACTACAAAATCTGAACACATCTGCCACCACTGATCTGACCCTGTTTTGTTTGTAGTTAAGCTCTACTGGCATGTGCACAGAGATACACATGTAAATGCGTAAGGACGAGAGTGACCTGATATACGTTCCTCAGTTTCAAGATGTTCCACTTATCAACAGTTGGTGGCAGTAATATACCAAGAGGTCTAGCAAAGTGCCAGCAAAAAGGAAGGCAACATGGACACAGCAAATATGGATATTCAATTAAATTCAAAGCCAGCAGGGCAATTAAAAAGGTGTATGCAAGCGAGACACAAACATATGCACAAACACACATGTTCCAATAAAAACACATAGCAGTGGGAAGTGGGGATGGGAAGATTCTCCAAGGGGGGGGGGGGTCAGAGTTCAGCAGACAAATAGCCTATGGTATGACTGTCTCTTATTTGTTCTACCACTGAGGCAGCACACATGTCATGCCAGGAAGAGAGCCAGTGGCCTGGAACAAACTACATGTGGGGTCATTATGGATTTGACTGGACTTCTGAAGAGTGCGTTAATTGTAATAGGTGGCCTCAAAGGGAGAGCCTTGATCTTGGAACATGTGCTGAACATTGTATAGGGTCTTCTTATCCTGCACTGTAAGAGAGTGGTGAAAAAGATGTTAAGACTCTATATACTCTATATAAGTGTCTTCAAATGCGAGTCTCATCCATTTGCCTCCAAAAAATACTGTTGAGTTTTTTAGAGACATTACAATTCTGTTGTCTTACTATTCACTGTGATGATGAGTTCACAGAGGTGGGACTGATGAGGACTTATCCACCATTACTGTATTAGTAACCTATACTCTTAAAAACACTTTTAATTCATGAGGGAAAACATTTGTGATCTTTGATTTACATTTGATTAACTAGATTAACTAACTCAGTGGTATAATCCTTTTCTGTCCACTTAGCGGTGCTGCTGGGTGAAGGACATTGAATTCACCAGAAGAGATAAATCAGTGCAGCTCCTTCTCACTCAGTACAAACTGCAGAGTGCAGTGTAATTCTTTCATGAAATGAATGGGGACAGGAAACTGTGCATTAGAGGTCCTAATTAATACTTATAAATAGAGGCTATAAATATGTGACCTATACACATCATGAGTTTGTGCAAACAATCTGTTTATTGTTCTGGAAAAGAGGTTGTCCATGTGCGGAATTGTATTTCCTGGAATATAGATAGAAAGTGAATATTCCTGTCTCACTGAATCAAAACTCTGAGAGACAAAGTCATTTTTTTCTCTTGAATTAGTTTATTTTATAATATTTTATATATTTTAAGTACAAAAAACATTATCTTCACACAGAGAGAAGACGCTGTTAAACCAGATTTAGCTACAAGCCACTTTCCATCTAAAGACCTTGGGCAGGTGGACCCTCAGGGAGTGTTGGGGAAGCTACTTTGAAAGCAGCTTTGCAAGATACTAGCTGCTTTACACTGGAAGAAGTTGAACTACAGCAAAGAGAAATTTAGTTTGGTTGACTAAAGCTACTTAGAGAAAGTACTTGAAAAAATGATCATATTAACAATGTACATGTGAAATTAAATTTATTTTTATTACAAAACAACAGACTTGTTCACAGCTCAACCAAAAAAAAAAAAAAGAAAGTAAAACCACACTATTTCTGGGAACGTGCCAGAATGTCAGCTTTGGTTTTGGTGATTCTTCCTCAGGCTGAGATTCAGGGGGTTTATCCATGAAGGCCTTGTAGTTTTGTGACCATTGAGCAACACCCACCCCTGGCTTTTGCACATGCACTTCACAAAGGTCAAGTGTGTAGTGGTGGCTCTCTGATAAATTTGAACAGTAATTAATTCATTTTTTCACAACCTGGCAACCCTAAAGTTATTCATATTTACCACTTAAAATTCACCTTTACCTTTAAAGCTTTGGGGAAATCATTACTTTTCTTCTACTTTTCTAATTTTCTATATGAGGATTTCCCAACATCTTGCGACCCCAGTTTCTTCCTAGGTGCTTTAACACATCCCCCTTCAGACAGGAAGCCCACGCCTTTTTCATGTTCTACATATTCTTTGGCCACTGGTGCGTTTTTACGCACAGCTGCACGATGAGTGTCTGGACTTGTCCGCGCGCTCACTGGACCCTGCTCTGCCTCTTTCTGCTTTTGTGTTTAGGCACAGTGTGGACTTTCGATGTGATACTGCTGCACACCAACGACAACCACGCACGGATCGAGGAGACCGGCGAGGACTCGGGGAAATGTCGACCCGGGGGTCCCTGCTTCGCTGGAGTCGCCAGGCGGTTCACAAAAGTGTCGGAGATCCGGAAAAAAGAGGAGAACGTGTTGTTTCTGGATGCTGGAGACCAGTTTCAGGGAACTGTCTGGTTCAACTACTACAAAGGCGCCGAGGCAGCGTACTTCATGAACAAACTTGGTTATGATGTTATGGTAAATACTTATTTACTTGTGGGGTTTTTATGAGCAAATTTGGTTTATTTTTTCCTGCCACTTTCCTAAGATAAGTAGCTGTAGTAGTAAAATTAGCTTTTGATTAGATTAAATCACTGGAGTAGCCTACACCTTTTAATGTTATCAATCCATTTTGCATAATACAGGCGTTTGGAAACCATGAGTTTGACAATGGAGTGGATGGTCTGATCCAGCCCTTCCTCCAGCAAGTAAATTGCTCTGTGGTGAGTGCCAACATAAAACCTGACCAGACTCTGGCCGCAAAACTCAGTGGATACTACCAGCCCTACACAGTCATCAATGTGGGTTCAGAGAAAGTGGCTGTGGTCGGCTACACCACCGCAGAGACCCCTTTCTTATCCATGCCAGGTAAAAGTATATTGTTGCATGCAGCAATGCATCGAGTTAAAGCTTCGTTAGTTCTGTTACAAAACAATGGAGATAGACCAACTTTTATTTCCCATCTCTTTTCTCTTCTGTGTATTAGGCCAACACCTGAAGTTTGAGGATGAGGTGGAGTCACTTCAAGTTCAGGTCGATAAGCTCCAAACCCTGGGCTATAATAAAATCATTGCCCTCGGCCACTCTGGCTTTGATATAGATCGAGACATCGCCAAGCGAGTGAGAGGAGTTGATGTTGTTATTGGAGGACACACCAACACATTCCTCTATACCGGTACTTTTATATTATTTTGTTCCCCATTCAGATCTATTCTAGTGGCTGAGGTGTACATACGACCAACTGTCTTGTATATTTTTACTATTTCTTTCTTATTATTTTTATTAAATTCAGCTGAACAAATTTCTTTCGCTGCAGGAAAACCCCCATCCACTGAAGTCCCAGCAGGTCCATACCCCTTTATGGTGAGGTCTAACGATGGGAGAAACGTGCCGGTGGTCCAGGGCTATGCCTTTGGGAAATACCTTGGATACCTGAAAGTTACTTTTGATGAGGCTGGGAATGTGGTAAAAGCTGCTGGAAACCCCATCTTAATGGACAGCAGCATACCTCAAGGTAGACTGCAATCACAGTCAGTAGTTCAGTAATTAGACATGGCCCATTTTTGGCTTTTCAACTAGTGCTTGAGTGGTTGAAAAGTTGAAACAAATCATTGAACCAAGTAAGATTTTATCATGTTGAAATCGCTGGATATGACATTAAGTGGCGTGAATTACCATGTCTGTTTTTATCGTTTAAGTTAATAAATAATTAGTGTACATCTTGGAATAATTTTGATAATAATGATGTTATTATATATGATGTTTACACAGCTGGTGAAACAAAAGATGTTAAAAACAAAAATTTGGAGTACTACAACCTGATTACTCCTCTTATGTTCAGAAACAGTTAGATCTATGCTTTGTTTCTTAAAATAATAAAGCAGCACACTGAACATAGCATGACTAACATAATCCATTTCCCCTTCTCAAAGCTTCACTCAAACTTAAATAACCTGGTGTCATGTCATCATCATCATCATTTCCATGTTCCCTCCTTCACACAAGCTTTCCTTTTGTTGTAACTCTCTCAGACCCAGATGTCCTTGCTGATGTTGCGAAGTGGAAGAAAGATTTGGCTAAGTACTCCTCACAGTATGTTGGGAAGACCTTAGTCTACCTCAATGGGTCATTTGAGGAGTGCCGATTTCGGGAGTGTAACCTTGGAAACCTGATCTGTGATGCCATGGTAATAATTACAGACAACGTTCACTCATCAATTTACTGTATATTCAGAAAGCCTTAGTTGCTCCCTCACTCCGATCGTTCAGTTTGCTAGCCACTGACTCAAAAGAAAAACATTTTCTTTTCATTACACATGAATACATTTTCCCCAGCACAGGACCCTCACATCCTGTCTGTGCATGTTCAGTGTTTACCGCTACGTGGGAATTTGGGGAATTGAAGGGGCTGCAGTGATTTTGAGAAAGTTGACGTAAATACCACTTAGATCTTTTTAGGCAGGTCACATACTCAAAAGGTCAATTTCCACAGCTGCAAGAGAGCAGCTCTTTCCAAAAAGAAGAGTTTCACCGCTGTGCCGTATTTGTTTTCTTTTGTCTTGTCAGATTTATAACAACATAAAGGATTCAAATGAGCAGCAGTGGAATCACGTTGGCATATGTATGCTGAATAGTGGGGCCATACGGACAGCTATAGACGAACGCTACAAAAACGGTAACGCTACTTCAACAAAGTTTTTTTATAGAACAAGTGTTTCATTACACAGGCCACTTTGCACTGGCTGCATTTGTAGTTTTTAAAGAACATATATAAACGTTTATATATATATGCTATACTTTTTTTGCTATACTTTTAGGAACCATAACTATGGAGGAGATCCTCACTGTTTTACCATTTGGAGCAACCTTTGACTTGGTTCAGATAAAAGGATCCACAGTGAAAAAGGCATTTGAGCACTCCATTCACAGATATGGACGCATGTCAGGAGAATTTCTTCAAGTCTCAGGTCTGTCCTCGGGCTCCAGGGTTTCATGGAATATTATAGACCATAACTTTCTCTAGTCAGGTATCAAAGGAATAATTTGACATTTTGGCAAATATGCTTTTTCACTGATGGTTGGATGAGAAGATTGATACCACTCTCATGCCTGTACAGTTAATATGTACCACCAGTTAGATTAGCTTAGCATAAAGACTGGAAATAGGGAAACTCCTAGCCTGGATCTGTGTTAAGGTAAAAAATAAAATCTGCCTATCAGCAGGCGGATCGTGATATTGATCTTCTCACCTAAATCTCTTAAAGAAAGCCAAAATGCATATTTCCCAAAATGTCAAATGAATCTTTAAGTGTTTTACCAGTTCACTCATGTCCACAGCAGACAATGACCACATTACATAATTTCCTCTGTTTTCTCTTGGCTATTTCCAGGCATTCATGTAGAGTATGATCTCTCCAGACCAGTGAACCAGCGTGTAGTGTCCATGTCCCTGCTCTGCACCGAGTGCCGTGTGCCCAAGTATGAACCGTTAGACCTAGAGAAGACATACACTGTGGTCATGCCTTCATACATTGTGGGCGGAGGTGACAACTTTACCATGATCAAAGAGGAGTTGCTAAAACATAACACAGGTGGGTAGCAGATAATAGTATTTAAGATCGCATAAATATTTTCTTGAAATTAAATGTTTTTTTGTTTTGTCAATGTAAGGTTGTATTAGTTTTTCCATGTTGGCAACTTTGGTTTAAGGATGTTAAGAATGTGAACCTTGGGTAAACTGCTGACCGTTGGGGTGAGCAGGACGTCAAAGGATCCATTACATACTGTATCTAGGTTTTATGGTTATATTGTTGTTTGTGGGTTTACCTTCATCCAGCAGAGATTTAGTGATGCACCCCCTTTTAGGAGGGTGGAAGTAATAAAAGTGAAACATAGAAGTAAAGGTCTCGAGGTTATCAGATGTTAGTTACAAAACTGAGAACAACATGCTATACAAGCATTTCAAGTTTCGTCATTCAATGAGAGACCTGGTGTACCCTGCACCAGATCTGTCCTTCGTGCACGAATAAACCAACCAAACTGAAGTGTTGACTTGTTGGTCTGATATGTACACTTTTTCATCTTTCGGTCACGAGAAATCATCTTTTCAGTCAATATGGTAAATTTGTTTAGTTTTATGTGTAAAGAAGAGTTAGTTTCATTTACTTGTAAGTTCCACTGCTTCATTTACTAACCAATGTTTTGGATTAAAATAGTTCCTGAGAGTTGTCAGATTGTTAAAAAGCTCACTCTAGGTCTCTAATATCTTTAAAGTGCTTCGCCCCTGCTTTTCCTTCCTGTTGGACTACAACCCAATTACGCCCTGGGCTTTAATGTTTTTTTGATGCCAAATCTTTGAATGGCTGGAAAACACTTTATTAGATTTATTTAGTCAGTCAGGGTAGTACTCACTGGCAAACTTTTAGACCTCTCTGAATGGACTCTCTGGAACAATATTTTAAAGCCAAAGTCACATTGAAATACCAGTGTGTGTTATAGGTGACGTGCAGACCTTTAATCATGAGCTGTAAACATTTTAGGAGAGGCATGGGTGTGAAATGTGGAGCTAAAATGAGTTCTTCACACTTTGAGTAGCCTGTGAATTGAGATAGAAAGCATATAGCAATAGAAAGCATATGGCAGCCTCAGACCAAGTAAGAACATTTAAGCCCTATACAAGCCCTGATCTTGCACTCATATACCATGAGACTTGACACCACACTATACATTCAAATGTATAAAAACATAAAAAACAATGGAAAAAATCTGTTTCCAGATCAACTAATATATATAGAAGAAAGTGGAAAAGAGCTTGAAACATGCTACACCCAAATTTCCATTTCAAGCACTGCTCTATAAAATGCAACATCTGGTCTGTCTGTCTGTCAGGCGGCTGGTGTACCACTTTGCTCAACAACTATTGGATGGATTGCCACATTAATTTTCTTGACAGGATTATTTTTTACATCTATAGACGTCCCCTAACTTTTTTTCTGGTGCCATCATCAACCCGAATTTCAGTTTGTCTAATACTTTGGTTTATGACTAAATACCAGCAGAACTAGCAACATTCCCATAGCGTCATTTGCACTTGATGTTTCTGGCTACATAACAAATGATAGCATGCTAACATTGTGGATTAAGATAGGGAATATGGTGAATATTATACCTGCTAAACATTTGCATGCTAGCATTGTCATTGTGAGCAAGGTAGCATGTTAACTAAGGGTGTAGATTTGCATATATACAGTGGGGACACGTCTCTATCAATATTTTGGGAGGACAGAAGTATCCCAACCAATATTTGAGTTTGTCGTTTTTATGACTTTTTATGACTTACTATACTATGACTTTATATGCCTTTCCATATACTATTTTGGTTTTGTATGACTTTTATGCCTTACTATACTATGACATTTTTTTTATCACTTTTTATGCCTTACTGTACTATGACGGTTTTATGACATTTACACCATACTGAAAAGATAATGTGAGAAAGATGAAAAAGTGAACACAATCAGACCAATAAGTCAACATTTCAGTGTGGCTGTTTTTATTCATGGACAAAGGACAGATCTGGTACAAGGCACACCAATGTTGATCTGGAGATCTACACGTCCATGGGGTCTCGTAGCTATTGCTCGTCCTTCTTCATAGCGCCTGGATGGAGATCATTCTCCATCCTTGAGGCTCTAACCATATAAGCAAACAAGAATATTCATCAATCTCACCAGGACCTATATGTGTCCTAAATACTTCAGTGTCCTACGCAAATATACAGTAAAAAATCATTAATATTCTAAAGTCAAAGTTATATGCATGTAAAACAATTTATACCTTACACTATTCTGTGTCTTACTGTACTATGACTCTTTTATGCCAGACTATAGTACGACTTTTTATGACTTACTATACTATGGCGTTTTTATGACTTTTCATGCCTTACTATACTATGACGTTTTTAATATTTGAATGCCTTACTATACTATGTCGTTTTCATGCTTTTTTCTGCCTTACTATACTATGACATTTTTAATATTTTTTTATGCCTTACTATACTATGACGTTTTTATGACTTTTTATGACTTTCTATGCCTTAGGATGTTTTTATGCTTTTTTATGTCTTACTATACTATGACTTTTTTATGCCTTTTTATGCCTTACTATTCTATGACGTTTTTAATGCTTTTTTATGCCTTACTATACTATGACTTATTTATGACTTTTTATGCCTTACTATTCTATGACGTTTTTATGACTTTTTTAATACCTTACTATTCTATGACTTTTTTATGCTTTTTTCTGCCTTACTATACTATGACATTTTTAATATTTTTTTATGCCTTACTATACTATGACGTTTTTATGACTTTTTATGACTTTCTATGCCTTAGGATGTTTTTATGCCTTTTTATGCCTTACTATTCTATGACGTTTTTATGCTTTTTTATGCCTTACTATACTATGACTTATTTATGACTTTTTATGCCTTACTATTCTATGACGTTTTTATGACTTTTTTAATACCTTACTATTCTATGACTTTTTTATGCTTTTTTCTGCCTTACTATACTATGACGTTTTTAATATTTTTTTATGCCTTACTATACTATGACTTTTTTATGACTTTTTATGACTTTCTATGCCTTAGGATGTTTTTATGCTTTTTTATGTCTTACTATACTATGGCTTTTTTATGACTTTTTATGACTTTCTATGCCTTAGGATGTTTTTATACTTTTTTATGTCTTACTATACTATGCCTTTTTTATGACTTTTTATGACTTTCTATGCCTTAGGATGTTTTTATGTTTTTTTATGCCTTACTATACTATGACATTTTTATGCCTTTTTATGCCTTACTATTCTATGACGTTTTTATGCTTTTTTATGCCTTACTATACTATGACTTATTTATGACTTTTTATGCCTTACTATTCTATGACGTTTTTATGACTTTTTTAATGCCTTACTATTCTATGACTTTTTTATGCTTTTTTCTGCCTTACTATACTATGCCTTTTTTATGACTTTTTATGACTTTCTATGCCTTAGGATGTTTTTATGTTTTTTTATGCCTTACTATACTATGACATTTTTATGCCTTTTTATGCCTTACTATTCTATGACGTTTTTATGCTTTTTTATGCCTTACTATACTATGACTTATTTATGACTTTTTATGCCTTACTATTCTATGACGTTTTTATGACTTTTTTAATACCTTACTATTCTATGACTTTTTTATGCTTTTTTCTGCCTTACTATACTATGACGTTTTTAATATTTTTTTATGCCTTACTATACTATGACTTTTTTATGACTTTTTATGACTTTCTATGCCTTAGGATGTTTTTATGCTTTTTTATGTCTTACTATACTATGACGTTTTTATGACTTTTTATGACTTTCTATGCCTTAGGATGTTTTTATACTTTTTTATGTCTTACTATACAATGGCTTTTTTATGACTTTTTATGACTTTCTATGCCTTAGGATGTTTTTATGTTTTTTTATGCCTTACTATACTATGACATTTTTATGCCTTTTTATGCCTTACTATTCTATGACGTTTTTATGCTTTTTTATGCCTTACTATACTATGACTTTTTTATTACTTTTTTCTGCCTTACTATACTATGACGTTTTTATGCTTTTTTATGCCTTACTATACTATGACTTATTTATGACTTTTTATGCCTTACTATTCTATGACGTTTTTATGACTTTTTTAATGCCTTACTATTCTATGACTTTTTTATGCTTTTTTCTGCCTTACTATACTATGACTTTTTTATGACTTTTTATGACTTTCTATGCCTTAGGATGTTTTTATGTTTTTTTATGCCTTACTATACTATGACATTTTTATGCCTTTTTATGCCTTACTTTTTTATGACTTTTTATGACTTTCTATGCCTTAGGATGTTTTTATGTTTTTTTATGCCTTACTATACTATGACATTTTTATGCCTTTTTATGCCTTACTATTCTATGACTTTTTTATGACTTTTTTAATGCCTTACTATTCTATGACTTTTTTATGACTTTTTATGGCTTACAATACTATGACTTTTTTTATGACTTTTTATGACTTTCTATGCCTTAGGATGTTTTTATGTTTTTTTATGCCTTACTATACTATGACATTTTTATGCCTTTTTATGCCTTACTATTCTATGACGTTTTTATCCTTTTAATGCCTTACTATACTATGACTTATTTATGACTTTTTATGCCTTACTATTCTATGACGTTTTTATGACTTTTTTAATGCCTTACTATTCTATGACTTTTTTATGCTTTTTTATGCCTTACTATTCTATGACTTTTTTATGACTTTTTTAATGCCTTACTATTCTATTACATTTTTATGCCTTTTTATGCTTTACTATAGTATGACTTTTTTAATGCCTTACTATTTTATGACGTTTTTAATATTTTTTATGCCTTACTATACTATGACGTTTTTTCACATTTTTATGCTTTACTATAGTATGACTTTTTTAATGCCTTACTATTTTATGACTTTTTATGCCTTACTATTCTATGACGTTTTTATGCTTTTTTATGCCTTACTATAGTATGACTTTTTTAATACCTTACTATTCTATGACATTTTTATGCTTTTTTTATGCCATACTATACTATGACTTATTTATGACTTTTTATGCCTTACTATTCTATGACGTTTTTATGCTTTTTTATGCCTTACTATACTATGACTTTTTTATTACTTTTTTATGCCTATTCTATGACGTTTTTATGCTTTTTTATGCCTTACTATATACTATTTTGTTTTTATGACTTTTTATGACTTTTTATGCCTTACTATTCCATTACTTTTTTATGACTTTTTTAATGTCTTACTATTCTATGACGTTTTTATGCTTTTTTATGTCTTACTATATTATGACTTTTTTGTGACTTTCTTAATGCCTTACTATTCTATGACTTTTTATGACTTTCTATGCCTTAGGATGTTTTTATGCTTTTTATGCCTTACTATATACTATTTTGTACTATGACATTTTTATCACTTTTTATGCCTTACTATACTATGTTATTCTTATGCCTTACTATACTATGCCGTTTCGTGCCGTTTTCGTGCCTTTTTTTTGCCTTATTATACAATGACTTTTTATGCCTTACTATGACTTTTGTATGCCATTTCATGCTTTACATATTATTACATTTTTATGACTTCTTTATATCTTACTATACTATTATTTTTTATTACTTAATAAACTATGATTTTTGTTATACACTCTGGATGTTAACGTTGGCATTCAACTCAAGTACAGCCTCCTAGAGCAGTTATCCTTGGTAATAATTTACTAATAATTGTCATCCTCTTGTAGTTTAGTGATTTTCTGGAACCAAATGCAGACACACAAAGCAGGTAGTGGTTTAATAATTACAAAGAAAGTCCAAAAGTTAGAGGCAAGCAGACGAACTGGGCAAAACTCAGGAAATATGAACAGGAACCTGGCAGGAACAAAAACATGATTTTCCACACAAAGGAGACGAGAGAAACATAACCAATGACTTGTACATGAGCATGAGGTAACATAGAAGAACTAAACAGGGAAAAAAAAGAGAAAATTCAAATGCAGATATCAAACGGAGACCTGGGGGAAAGGGACTAAATACATAAGAGAGGCAGGAATAATAGATCACACGTGAAACCTGTGGGTGAATTATATCAGGGTGTGGCAGATGATAAAAAAAGCAGGAAAACTAGATAAAGACAGGAAGTAAAACAACATGCTGACACACAAGGCAAGTAATAGCAAAGTAAAACAAGCCCTGCCCACTCATTTAAGAGTTCCTTAAATATTGTTTACTGCTACTACACTCAGCGACTATCTCTAATCCTCACAGAGCTTATAGCACTGTAAACATTGAGAACAGGCGGTTTTAAACATGAGCAACATGGAGAGAATTTCATTGGGTGAATATCATAAAAGACCAACCAACACTAATCCAACTGTTATTTTTCCCACCTCTTGCAGGTGATATGGATATTTCTGTTTTCTCCAAATACATCTCGGACATGAAGCGTGTGTACCCTGCAGTGGAGGGCCGGATCACGTTCAGGAACTCAGCCTTCGTTACAACCTACTGCTTCGGATTGTTGTTGCTTGGTTTATGTCTGTCCCTGACTCTATGATTGGCTTGGCTTTGTACACTCTGGGAAACTGTGATAAACTGTAGGGCAAGTTTTGCTACTTGGAAACCCCTCTGGGACTTTAACTGCCTTTCCATCTCACTGCTGTCAAGGGTAACTAAAAGACAACACAAATACAGGTTAAGCCTCAGGGTAGATTCAATAACCAGACAGGAACATACTTTATCATACATACAAATGAGTTAAACAACTGATTAAAAGGATTGGGGACAGTCCTGTATACTAAGATCTTGCACACAAGCATGATGAACAAGTTGAATATGAAAAAAAGCAAAGATGTATAGGACATTAACAAATATTATAAGTGCATGTAATACAATTTTAGTAACATCTGTACAAGTATGAATGTCATTTCTCTCATAAATTTTAAGAAACAAAGAGTGCTTTATGTCTAAAATCCAAGACAATGCTTCGCTAAAAGGATATCAAAGAGTGAAAGGACTGCAAGGCACTGTCCATCTTCTTAGTGAGATAATGAACAAAGGGAAAGCTGTCTGGCTGCTATAATTCTCTCTCAGGATTGGTCACAACTTATTCAGAGAAGGAACAGAGAACTGTGACCTAATATTTTTAAAGAATTGTATTACTATGGCTATTTCAGTGTGTATGTGAAGTTACAGACACAATTGTATTGCTACAGCAAAAATATTACTGCCTTTGTTTACCTCAAAGCCATATTTATAAAGTACTTTTGGAAGATTGTTATTGTAAAGTTAAAATACTTTTTGGGGGTAGAGATAAATAAATGTCATAAATTCATCAAAATAAGTCATGAATTTTGACATTGTGACATACAATACCTTTCTAAACCAATAGACCTGCAGTTAATGATTATTTCTTTATTTATTTAGCCAAGTTTCAAATAGCCATATTTTAGAACTAATAATTACTTTTAATTGTGTTATGTCAGAATGTTATTTTTTTGTTTTGTTTTTGGTTCCAGTTAATAATTTACAAAATCATCCCTCGGGAATATGTTTCAGTTGTAGATGAGTCCTGTAGGAATCATCCAGTCATTGTTAATTGTCAATCTCGGCTATCACTTATCCTGTTGTATTTAATTTACAAAGACATAAAACACATGAAATCAAAATAATGAAATAAGTTAGTAATCATTGCACTTGCTGTAAAAAATTCTTATACCATGGGCCGTTGCGACTCATGATGTCATTTTCTCACTTTTCAGTTTTCAATGAAAAATATTTACTTCGTCATAAAGCTTCTAGGTGACGTAGTTACACATCAAATAGCTGCTTGTTTGGAGGAGGACCTTCCACAATGTAAGGCTGCGTGTTGTTACCTTGTCTCATTATCTAGATTGAGGAACACCTGTGTTGCAGCCTGCATGCAAATGTCCGAGTATTATGGAATTTCTTTTGATTTGAATTAATGTTGATTTTTTTTTTTTGTTATTGTTTTCTTCCTAATGCTAAAATAAGTTAGTTTTAGTTTTACCTCATTAATATGCAAATTTATGCAACAAAGCACACCAATATCTAATCAGATCATTTACTGCACATGGACTACCTGTTAAGTTTCTACTATGTGTTCTTGAGTTATCGTGTTCACAAGAATGACAACATAATGTCCTGCTTACCATGTCCCATGGTGGTGGGACATAATAACGACGCCATAATTAAGAAATGTCGTTTGTTTACAGAAACGAGCAGCAGCCAGCCAATCAGGATGTAGAACTTTCAGAGACGCAATGAGACAGAGAGCTTCATTCAGACTTTCTCCTGCTAAGTTTGGATGTGGCATCGTCTTTACCATCTTTAGCTTCTATAGTTGTCATAGAGCAAGTTGAGTTGTCCCCCCTCCTCCCTGTCACTCAAAAATGAAGCACTGAATTAGCCATAAGAGTCAACCACCTCAGGGTACATGGGGCTTAACAGATAGTTTTGGAGACTACAAATGGTGAAGTGGTGTATTTGATAAAAAAAACAAAAAAAAACCCAGAAAAACACTTTGTGTGGACTGAGTTTTCCTGATAACTCTTCCAGCGAGGGTTGTTCCAGCCTTTAACATTAGGTGAGACTTTTCAGCAGGAGATTCACAGCAGTTGATGAAATACTTAATAAAAATAACAATATCTAAGTGTTAAATAGAAAAAGTCATACATTTAAAGTTTTACTAACTACTGCTACAACCACCTGCAGATGTCAAACAGATGTATACTTTTACACCGTTTGCTTTTATATTTAGGAATAATTACACACACACACTGATCTATCATTTATTTACATAATTTTATTTTTACAAAGTAAATGGCATATACAGCAGGGGAAGCCTCGTGTTCCCAGATACTGTACATGTGATCTTCATGTTAGTTTTAGGTAAGCTGAGCAACAAAAGCCTTTTGCAGTAGTGTAGGGTGAATTAATGCGTGACAAACATGTCTGATCGTGTCCATTGAGCTGCTCATTTTACATCCATGGAGCCATCACAGACGTCTCCTTCTGTACCTGCTGAGGAAACAAAAACAGAGAGTAAGCACAAAAATAGATGTTCTTTGTTGTAAAACAAGTGTTCCTTTATATATTAAGAATAATTTTGCACTTATAGTTAAGAGATAATACTGTATGTAATGCCATAACTGTGTAATTATTCATATTTGATTTGAAGATTTACAAAAATGCATGTAAATATTATGCCACAATTAATTACACAATGATTATATTGATCTGAAAAAAATGTAGCTTGTTAATAAAATCTATATATAATCTATCCAAATAGTGTACATACATCTTGAACTGAATGAGAACCCTCCACTGACTGCACTACTCTACTCATTTACTGTGCATTACTGTAATGAAGTCGTAACATGATTTCATTACTGCAAATGCAAACTGCTGCAAGCCTGCTGTCTAGAAATAATGGCAATATTTCACTGACTTGCCTTTGAGGCAATCGCGTCATTTCTTCCTTTCTATTAATGCTAAGACACCAGAAGGAATCTGCCTGGGGGAAATAAAAAACACAAAACGCCCTACAACTGTTCCGGCAAACATACTGTACAACTCACAGTCTTTTCACTACAGCCGAGAAGCCAAACGCTTTGATAACTTAACCAAACATAACTAACAACAGGTGATTTTTCCATTTTGAAAACACTGACATGAAATCCTCTATAGGATAATTACAGGCACATTTTAAAGGACATAATGGGAGTGATTAGCTGCAACGATTAAATAAATCAGTCAAGTCTGCCAATCACTGAAGTGTAATCAAAAAGAATTTGGCATTGTTATTATTCAGCACGCTTATTAACATCCTTTTTTTATTATTGTTTTATTCTAAAGAAAAATACAGCCACGCCACATGCCAAGCTTCGTCCTTTTGTTTGCACAGTCCTTTTGGTTTTGTTCTGAACTTAAAAACCTACTGATACTGATTTCCACACCCTATGCCTGTTTTCTATTATTTAATTCAATAAATATTCATTTATTCATTTATTATTCATATATTATAAGCTGGCAGTGTGTCTCTCTCCTTTGTTGTGGCCTGTGAGGTGGTCATAGCACTATGATACAGTTTCTTCACATTTACTTCTGGTGATCTTTCATTTGTCAGACATCATTATACAGTCATAGGTTTCATCGTTACTTTATGCCAAGATATGATTGCAGATTTTGATACAGATTAATAAATAATATTTTTTGTCCAAATATATTCAGACTTCCCCCTAGCCGATACAGATAATGGATGGATGGATGGATATATTCAGACTATATTTCTTTAGAAACCAAGGCAAGTTGTGAGTTACCTTGTTTAGCTCAGGAAAAAGTTCTTGAATGGCGATGTCAAGGAGCACATATGTCAGCTGAGGAAGACAAAAAACAGGCAGAACATGAAAAGCATTGAGGCCAGTGGTCTTTAAATAATACAAATATAACCCCAAACAAAATTTAAAACAATATGAAAGTCTTGACAAGATGTGTTTCCCAGCAGTGTTGGATGTCTTTGTACCTGTTTGTTGAGAACTGGCTGTTGCAAGCCATCGAAGAGGAGACGTACTCCCTCATACTTGGCCTCTTCGCCAATACATTTACCTAGAAAGTCTAAATAAATGGCTTATGAGTTTCCCAGCAAACACATAAAATTGTCTGCTTGTTTTCACATCTGTATGTTTGTCCTGTAAGAATGTTTAAAACTGAATGAATACCTGGAATGTAGCTCATCATCTCTTCGAAAGTCTTCTTTGCTCTCCTCTGTTTGTCTTGAGTCGAGCGGGGTGGACTACTCTCACAGAAAACTGTGTCTAGAAAAGCAAAGAATATTCACACCTCATTAAATGAGTCTGTTTAAGGTATAGTCCAGCATTTTACATAAGAAGATTGATATCACTCTCATGTTTGTGTGTTCAGTACAGAGCTGGAGGCAGGAGGCGATTAGCTTAGCATAAAGATTGATTAACATGTAACTTCTTTCTTAATTTACACATAAATAGAAATGTGAAAACTCGTGGTTTTAGGGGGTGTTATGGGCCTTAACTAGTCTTCATGCTAAGCTAGGCTAACTTCCTCATGGCTCCAGAATTGGTATCAATGTTGTCATCTAACTCTCCCATAATGTTAGCTCCTAAGAACAGCTTTAAGCTATTTTTTCAGACACATAATAGCAACACATAGCAGTATTGTGATAACATGTAACCTTCTACATTCATGTGAATATCTGTGATTTAACAGCTGTGTACCTCTAAGCAGGGTGATGAGTGAGACTAGCCGATGCTCCTGGACCACCTGGTTCAGTTTGTACTGTAGATAGTAATCTGTGTAGGCCTCCAGGGTGTTCTTGAACAGGATCCTGCCACCCATTAGCAGGTGGTGCAGCCAGTCAGGGATGTGGAAGATGACTCGGCCTGAGAACCATGAAGACGGAGAGAAAGAGAAACATTCTGTTTTGTTTGCTTTTTTTTGTCTTGTGTTATTGTAAAACACATCAGAACTTTGTTTCAGGAAAGTGCAATATAAATAAACTATCATCAATATTACTATAGATAACAGGTCTAAAAGCTATTCAAATAACTTTTTTTCATATTTACAATGCCACTGCAACTCTCATCTGCTGTTGGATTATATTAATTTGTTCTTTCCACTGATGAATGATTAATAAGTCTATATGATATATTACATTTGACACAAAAGCTTTTATTTTTCATGTAGGAATGCTAATGAAAATGATTTGATAAAAAACTAAATATTGTGTCAGCTAATATATATATATTTTTTTTTTTTTTTTAATTCAAATTTTTTATTAGGTTTTAAAATGCTTGGTACAGGGCAGACATGTATTAGGATACAGGAACACAAGGCACATTTTTAGTCTTTTTAGTTTGGAATCTGACTCCAGTACATAACTCTATAAAAAGATAAACAAACAAATGAATAAATACTGAAGGAAAAAAAAAACAGTGGGAAAACATGGCATATGTATACAGTACTGTATTCAAAAGACTATTCAAACCCCTTCCCTTCTTTTACATTTTGTTATGTTGCAGCCTTATGCTAAAGGAAAAAAGTCCCCTCATGTTAGTTCCAGAAGGACAACCATCACTGCAGCACTCCACCAATCTGGGTGCTATGGCAGAGTGACCAGACTGAAGCCTCCCCTCAGTGAAAGACACATGAAAGCCCGCTTGGAGTTTGCAAAAAAACACCTAAAGGACTTTTTCTTTTTAACTTGCTAACTGTGAGCTTTTTGTAATTCTTGATTAAAAAACTGCATCCTAAGATACTTTCTAATATTTTTTTAAAGCTAAAAGACGAGTTCATACATAAAAACAGACAATTTTTTTTCTCTAACTTTAAAAAACTTCCACTACATGTCTATTATAATAATATGTATGAGTATGTGATGAAGAGGGTGTGATGGACAGATCGCCATAAACAAACTTCACTTACCCACATACATTAAGTAGTCATAAACCCCTTCAACAGTGATCATTTCCATGAAGTAGTTCTGATTGTGTCTCTTCTCCGTCATTTCTGATCGGTTGGCATTGTTTTTGAAGAGGTCGTTGAAAAGCTAGGAGAGAGGAATTTACATCAGTTTTTATTATTAAAGTCAATTTAAGACCAAAAGACTCTGCTCTTCTGTTTTAAGAAACTTTTATGTTCTGAGTGACTGACAGAGATCTACTGAAGAGTGCAGCTTCAATCTGTAAAGACTGTAAATAATAGAATAAAAGATGCTCAAAATTGTTTGACGAGGTGTTAATTGCATTCATCTCTGAATTTTGGGACAATGACACATTTGTTCCTGTATAGTCAAGTGGACATTTCACTAGCCACAAATGGGTGGTGCTGGCAGAGGTTTGCCTTCAGGGTTTTCTGCCAGAAATCCTTGCTGGCAGAAAGACTTGTTTTCAGTCACAGTTAAGTTAAGTTTAGGTCACAAAACTATTTGGTTAAGTTTAGAAAAAGATCATGGTTTAGGTTAAAATATGTGCATAGGCTTTCTGGTGGAAAACCTTGAAGGCAAACTCCTCTCATGTGCCAAATGTGTCGGATTATGTCTAAACTGGTCAAGACATCATGACCTCACCAACTCAGCTAATAGCATTTCTTTGGTCAAAAAACGGACGATGGATGTCATTGCATGTCAGACCAGATAACTAAAAAACTAAAATCACTACTGGCCTTGAAACTGACTTTGAATTGTCTCTCTTCACTTATTTATGGTCCAGTTACACTTTTATCATGCACTTTATTTTAAAACAGCTGGACCAAACACCAAAACAGTTCAAAACAGTTAAACACTGCCATCATCATTACAACAAAATACCAGTGAAAACAGTTCCTACAATAATGTCTGGGAAGATGCAAACCATGACTTTGCTTAGAAAACATTCAACTGCGAAGCTCGATTGGATCGCGTGTTTTCAACCAGAAAGTTGTTGCTGGCAAACCGTCAGCGTAAACGTTTACAAAACTAAATGTGAGCATTAGGCAGGAAGCACTGCAGCCATGCTCAAAGGATTACATTCCCGAGGCCTAGGCTTTCAGGGAGAGAGAAACATTTGAAGTACTGATACTTGGGTTCCCAACCTTTTTATCATTTTCTGAGGTAGGGCTGAGGATAGTGAGCTCAGGGCGGCTGGGTTTGGGTTTGGGAGATTCACAGGAGTTGAAGAAAGACTGGATGAAAGGCTCCAGATGCTGCCCTTTCTGACAAAAAAAGCACAGTAGAGAATATGTATAAGTTAAAATGGCAATATTATTTCTCTTACAGATCTATTTGTCTTGTAGAAATGTTAAAAAGACTGTGAAGAGTCAGACACACACACACACACACACACCACTAGGGATGCATTTCTTACCTCTTTTATCAGTTTGCTGGGAACTGACTTAATGATTTTCCCTGTGAAACATAAACAGTTTATCTCAGTGAAGTATCATTCTGTCACATTTTGCCTCTGTCTGAAACACAAATATCTTTTCACACCAACCCAAGGTCAGGCTGATCAAACATTTTCACACTGTGTTTGACATGCTCTACTGTGCAAACATAATCCATCTCTTAGGTCTTTGTCACATTCTCTGGGTCCCATTCAGTCAGAATCTGCCTCATACTGTACCCAGGTTCACGTCAGGCAACATCTTGTCCAGGAACTGGGACTCCATACTATGTGGAGACAGGAAGTCGGCAAGGAGCTGACTGTTGCTCAGCTCTGGATGCTGGAGAAGTTTCTGTGAAGAAAACCCATGTAAATACACAATGTTGTAAGTTTTGTTCTTCTATGGTGGAACATCACTCAGAGGAACTTGGAACAAAGAGATGGATGGCTTTAAAATGTGTTTGACATTAAATGCAAAGCTCAGCCAAAGCTGAAAAAAAAAAACCCAATATTTTACTCAGGTTGCCATGTAAACACATTCAATCACAGATGTTTTACTCATTTTGCATTTTGTAACTAAACAGATTTTTAAGCACTTATGCCTGTAGTTTTATATGTTATATATGAAGAGAGTTTACATTATTGCTGACCATTTTTCACAGAATATCAAAGGTTTTTAAATTAATTTCCAGCCTTCAAATGAGCCTTTTCTGTCTGTTAATTTCAGCATTTCATAAAAATCTACTTGTACAGACTTATTTTGAGATAGGTAATCCATCACAGTGACAATATTTGACAGCTTTTGGTGTCGTCAGTTATGTTAGGATTTTGTGGCAATGCTCTTCTAAGGAGGCACCATTTAAAATTCCTCCCTTGGTGTGTTCAAAGATGCTCTGAAAACTCGACGTCGTGATATAAATTTCAGATGACAAGCAGTCTTCAGTTGTGAAGATGTAAATTTGGTCATTTTTCTTTTTCAACGTTTGACAGCCAGGTCTCAAATCTTGTTAGAGTATCCTTGAATCCACTGCTAAAACAGAGTCTTCAAAGTGGATCACAACCCCCTCATCGCAACTTCAGAGTCAGAACTCTGTCACATTGCCATGTTCTCTGTGTTTTAAAAAGTTGCAGCTGTCCCCATGATGACCAAATGAAACAGAAACAGAGAGATCATTTCTTATCAGTCTAGAACAGTGATCTAACTGGTCTATCATCTAGACTTGTGGTACTCTTCTCAATTGTTCTTCAGAGTTTCAAACCGATCACATCTAAAAGGTTGTTTTCTGACAATGGACCTGGAGAGATCCTGTCAGGACGCTAGAACAAACGCTCAAAAACTAAGATCCTTTCAATTTAATCTCAGTGTCTGGTCACTGGTGGAGTGCTGCCTGCACAGCCAGCTATACTGAGTGGAACGATTTGTGTCTGGAGCACTGTGTGTATTTGCGGGCGTGACCGTGCGTGCGTGTGTGTGTGTGTGTTTGTGCGTATGTGTGGGCACAAGCTTCTAAAGAGGAATTATGAAAAATCTGAGAATTGAATCTGCACTTAACCTTCACTGTTACTGTGTTATTTTAGACACCAAATAATGTATAAAATATCACTCTCATCAAAATACTTGGGTTAGTGTTTCTTCTTCATGGATTTAAGAGCGCAGTAACTGCTGGTTTATTACCATCCTGTTCTACTTATATATACAGAAGACGTGAGACTTGTTTGATATTTGAACTGAACAATCAGAGGAACACCACATAATAATAGTTTATGAAGGTGTTTCTGGAGAACCTCTGGCTCAGATCCAGACCCATCAATATATATCAAGTATATCTGTCTTAACAAATTTAGAAGGAAAGATGCAGGTGTCTTCTCAGACATCTACCTGGAGGTACTCCTGGAACTCTTCCCGTTTCGATGTGAGGAACTCATAATTCTTGGGGCCAATAATTCTCTTCGAAGGCAACTGTGCGTCTGGAAATGAGCCTATAGAGGGTGAAAGATTTCACAAAGAGGAGCACTGAAAAATATGAACAGAAAGGGCTTTCTTTTATGTTGACAGGGAAATGACAGTTGTGTGGTTTCCAGTAAGAGTCTCTACATGAAAATCATTCTGCAACAGGACTGTTTGATTCCTAAAAACGATGTTCATGAGAAACCAATGTTCTCTAGATTCTCTGGAATCCATGAGACCATTTTAACAGTAAAATTACTCCTTGAGGCAATGAATGAAAAAATAAACTGGAGCAACAATATGAAAAAAACCTACCATGAAACTCAGTGAGCTTTGATTCAAGCACATAGAACTCCAGATATCTTCTGTATACAGACCAGTGCTCAGTCTCGTGTCCCACTGTAGGTAAACACAAAAGAAAGTTTAGTGTAATGTAAATTGATATATTAAATAATAAACAATATATCAGTTAGAATCACTGCCACACGAGGAAACTATGCATGTTGACAGCTCCAACTGAATTTCAGTCCCCACACTGATGTTATGTGATGTCTGTATTGCTCCTATCAACCAACTTATTAGTCTGTGAAGATTCACAGCAGTCGACCACATAAAGAAGTGGATAGGAAAATTATCAAACATTGCTTTTTGTCACAGATTTAGCTAGATTTAGTAATTTCCTGCTTTTTGGGAGGCACTTTAGATTTTACTCTTATATAGATTTTTGTCCATTTTCGTGGTCAATAAGTGGCAATATTTAGCACCATAATGTCTCTGGGGCAAATATTGTTTATTGGCAGTAAAATGCTGTCAAATGTCCCTAAATTTTTTTTTTCACATTAAAATTGACAAGTTTAAGTTTTAAAGGACCTGAAAATCCATTTTCTCACTCATCGTCATATTATAGATATTGAGCTGCTAAATGAACACACAGTTATCTGACAAAGTTAGAACAATTTCAGTCATTTCATATGAGAGTGTCCTGTATTTGTGTTTATTTTTTCTCACTGGTTTTAAATGGGTAGGTCTCTGTTGGAAAAACTGATATCACATATTTCTGTGCACCAATCATAAAAGTTATGAAGTCGGTTGGCTGAGTTAAAGATATGATATATATATAATAAAGATATAATAAAGATATTTTTTGTTAACTACCTTGTTAACAACTCTGACTGTATTTACTACGGATATTTCATGTTGCAAAGAAATACCTGATTTTAGTTTAAAGGGGATTTAAACAAACATTAAATAAATAAGAATTCACAGTAATATCACACATTATTGTGTTTTTTTGTTTTTTTACTGAACTATAAAACAAACTATCTACAAAACTAAAGCCTTTTGAAAAAGATGCCACAGTTCAATCTGATACTTCCTGCAGCAAAGCAGAATGACCTCTCTCAGATGACATTAAGTGAGACAGAGGGACTGGTTCTTTGCAGCCTCACCTGCCTTCCTGTCGTTGCGCTCCACATCAATACAGAACACAGGAATCCTCTCCCTCTTCACATCGTCGTCATAGAAATCAATGTAAGGGATGGTGATGTTCCAGGCTGAGAGGTTTCTTGGCGTGCTGGGGGTAGAGGCTACCTCCATGGGGGAATCATCCTCCAGCACCATCATGGCCTCCTCCACCTTGAGTGGAAGGAAGTGAGAGAGGTTAAGGTCAAGCAGAGGAAGCTTGCTCTGAATAAACAGGTCATGGTCAAAACTGCTACTGTTAAGGTGCAAAACACTGCAGATAAACACAGTACAAAGAAAATTACCACAAATGTATTCATTGGAAACGTGTAGAGTCACAAGAGAGCTGTCTTTTAATTCTTAAACTTAACCTTTTTTTTTCTTTTTGCTCTATTAGTTCAAAATCTGTTCATTTTGAGTGTGTTCATCTGTCTTACCTGTATGTGTCTTCTCTTTGTAACTTGTTTAACATACAGTGTTCACCTTTCAAATTTACTATGAAGGACAGGGAATTTCAATATGAGGGAAAGTCTTTAAAAAAAAAGGTTGATTGAGACTCAGCCACAAATAGGGGAAAATGAAACGTAAACACAGGATATCCCCCTTACACTAAGTACTGCTGGACCATCTTTGGAAGATCAGTCATTATATCTACATATTTGGTTCACATTCCTTTGCACAATATTTGTGAAATAATCCCAAAGAGTTTGTCACATCCATTAGAGGAAAGTCACTCAGCTTGAACTATAATAACAAACAAAGCTGATGTTTAGTCATTTACATGTGAGTTTCTTATGTGCTTGTGTTTCTTTAATGGGGAAATACTTGGTCCTTAAACCCCTCACAACCTTCTGTCAGTTGAGCATGCAAACTCGAAACAAGGGAAAGAGACGTATCAGAAAGGGACAGAAATTAAAGTACAACTATGTTTTCAGCACAATGGTTCTCAGGAATGTGAATGTCTTTTGAAGCCAAAGTCTAAAACCTGTGATGTTATCAAAATGGAAAACTCAGTGGAGGTTACACACATGAGACAGACTTGGTCAACTCTGTGGCTTTCCTTTCTTTTCTCACCAACGCCCCCAGGTGGTAACAGTTGAAACAGTGTAAAAGAGTGCTTTAGTTTGAATTTTCCTTTTTGCAGAAGCTTGACTGTTTTAAAAAATGATTATGGGTTGATTTTGTTTTTTATTACTTTTAGTGATTTTAAAATGTTGCTTTAAAATGTCTATGCAGGATGAATCTGAGAACCTTCCACGTATCTGACAATGACTAATGTGTTTAAATCCTAGTCCATCCCATGAGGATTATAAGATCCCCTAAAAATGAGTGTGACATTAATTTTTACATCAGCCTTACCATATCATCCTCTCCCTCTACCAGCCCGTAGGATGGCAGCATGGCTCCCTCCATGGTTGTGCTCTTGAACACTCCTTTGATCTTACTGCCAATGCGGCTGATCCCAAAGGACTCGCCCCTCTTTGACGTGTTCCTGCAGACCAGACGAAGAGGTTATTAATCAATGCACGATGTAGGAGATGTGCATGGCTTCAGCAAAGCACATGCAGCTTGAGAGAGGTGACACGGAAGGAACCGTAGAAGAGAGAAGAGGGAGGAAGGCGCAGCATACTGCATCAGGATGATTGTATATGGGAGGAAAAAGCTAAGGTAGCCAAACCCAAAGCCAGTATGTCACTTCACAGCCATCTCACAACAAAATGTCTGGGTTGATGGTTAAGCGCTGCCGGGCCAAAAACAAACACAGCACACAGCAGTGAGCATTGATTTCATGAACAGATGTCTAGTTTGAAGGGAATCAAAAATTTTAATGAAGATGGTCAGTTACCAGTCAACCAGAAAAGGCACACAACATCACAGGTGCTCTGTGGGAGTGCGTGTTAGACGGAGTGAAATAAAAATCACCATGGTGACATACTGAATACATAAGGAGCTGAACATTGAAAAGTCACTGCATTGTCAAAAACAACAGGGAGTCTTTTGCCTAAACAACATAACAGAGTTGGAGGGACACATGACAAATAAAAACAGGATCCCATGCAGCAGTCCCACCATGCAGGCGTCTGGCTGAGACTGGGGTCACGTGGGGGAAAGTGGACAGCATGACATCACACTGAGCGACCTTTGACACACGGATGGACCCTGACTTACTTTGGTGATGAGTGGCGGTGGGATAGTGAGCCATATGGGAAGGTTGTGAACGTGGACTGGGCATGGAGGGAGTTAAAAGATGCAGGTGAGGAGCTGCCAGAGGCGGTGAACAGTGAGGACGGGGACTCGGGGCTCCAGTCCCAGGAACTAAAAGCAGAACAGGGTCATGTCCCCTCGGGCAAGAGGAGGGAGAGGACCATGGATCATACCAGGGCAGGCAGTATGGTGGTTACAGAATCAAGAGTGGACATACAGGCACAGACACAGCACGGTGGTGGCAATACATTGATGGAGTAATAGGTGAACGGAGGTGCAGAGTGGAAGGGGGCGGGTTACTGAATTGCAGACATGGAGGGAGTTGAGGCTTCTATTTAGTCAATATTTACAAATGGAGTGCCAGTGATAGCCATTATCTACTATTTCCTCTGTTTCCTTTGAGTGGCATGATTGATACTGCTTTGAAAACTGCCTTCATAACAAGATTGATTTCATAAAAAAAGAAAAAGAAACATATAACCAGTCAACTTCTGTCCCTGAGTTCCCCTGATGTTTAATTCTGCAATTTTGGAAGAAAGCAAACCCATGTTTGCTAAGAAAACCACAAAAACTAAAGCCTAAACCGTCCAAAAGTAAGATTTTATATCGCATGTGTTCAGCAGCATGACTCTTGATTAGCCTGATTAACATATGATTAATGCTGACTCATATGCTATAATTATCATGATTAGCTGATTAAGGTCACTTTTCTCAATCTTCTCTCATTTGCATTTACAGCACAAGCTTCAAATAACACACACATTTAGGGGTGAAATTAGATTAGCGATAAAAATTATATAGCTCTGATTTCAGTGGGCCCAGGGAACAGTGAATTTGTTAAAAAGGCAGCACATCTTCCTTTGTAGACAAGTCAGGCAAGAATGAGGTGTCTGTTGTATCTTGCGTGCAGCAGCACTGCTCAGCCAGCCACTGTTCTGATCAGCACACTGATGCCTTATACTCACCGAATGTCATCCAAACTGAGGCTATTTCTGGAACAATATGCACAAGGAGTTAGTGGCAGGGCCCCGTGGCCACATACACACCGCACCCCGCGATAGAAACATGACATTTGATCCCTGGGCTCAACTCAACAAAATTTATATCTAATTTAAGTTTCTTTATACTGCAAAGCAAATTTATTGTTAATTTACAGCTGATTTTTGACTGTAGTGAGACAACACTTATTTGAATTCATATTGTTTTTGCAGCTGCCACATACTATATTCTTCCTTCACACTGCAGTGGCCACTGCAATACAGACTTGCAAACATTAAAAAATACGTAGATATCATCAGTAAAATTGAGAATAACTATAGGAACTTGAGGTTGTATGTAATCGATTTCCTGTCTAAAAAAATAACCTATCATTGAGGCATTGTGTTTTAATTGCTTTCTGTGACTAACTAAATTATCAAAAGTCACCTTTGCATCAATATACTGGTAAACATTATAGACAAGCTTTTCTTCTGTTTCATACAAACACAAAAATTGTTGAAGTGAAACCTACCTGCTCATCTTGGAATTCCTGGCAGGGGACTCGGCCCCTCGCAGAAGCTGGCGAAAATACTGGAGAGTGACATGGAAAGAGGAAAAGAGAATACAGTTTAAGTCAATCAAACAGTGCATATGCAAATTCTGATACACTATTGTATGTGAGAGCCATTAGAGAAACACGTTATCTATCCAGCGACGTCTTCATGTCGTAATAATAATCATGACTGCAAGGTTTATTTTGGAGCAGGAACAAAAGTGGCAACAAAAAAGTCAAATAATATCATATTATTTTCCAGGCACACTATTCATGCAGGGCAGTGGCCTGCTGTGGACAATGGCTGAGCACTGCTCCACCCAGCTGTATTCAATGAAACAGCCTCTGAGGGGTGAAATTCGGCTTGGCAGCTTGGCATAATGCCAGTGTCGGCTCATTGGCCAGTTGCGCGTCTGGTATTGATGACACGGACGAAAGCGGTTGGTGGCTGAGAGATCGGAAGAGGATAACGCAAGAGAGTCAATGAATTCCAAATCAGCTCTACTTTCAGCATTTGACAGATATAGCTTTGTTACGTCTGACACGAACAAAATTCAAAAGCTGGATGATATTAAAATTCAGTCTGTACTGAAACAACCATATTCTGAAAGGACTGTATGAGAAATCAGAACATAGACAGATGCAATGGAAATGCAAAAGAGGTGATCAATAAATTGGTTTGAACCTCAGACAGATGTTATCAAACTGGGTGACAATGAGTTGAGCGATTTATTTTTTGCTAAAGATGCTAACCTCATCACTGTGACAGAACATGGGGGTGAAAACATTCTCCAGGAGGGACAGTACATGCTCATAGGCTTCAAACAAACACCTCATGGTCTGCAGTTTCACCACCTCTGCATGTGGGCCCTCTGCAACTGGGAAGTACAATAAAACAACAACAAAAACAAATAATTAATCTTCATGTTAATCGAAGTAAGTGGAATAAGTCTGTGTGCTTAATCTTAAATAATCAGATTGATAAAGAGAATATCCTAGTCACACACTGTTGCGTATTTCTTCTACGATAAAGGGGTCGAAGAGGATCTTGTCAACACTCTCGTCCAAACAGTAAGTCTCATAGATCTTCTTCACCTCCTCGTGAAGCATCATCTTCTCTGAGTCTGACAGCTCTGGGCACAGTATCCTATCGTTGAATTCCTCTGAGAAGTTAAGAGAGTCACACATATCAAACTCACTGTGTAACAATGAGAACCTATGTCTTAAGTAAGTGTTGCTGAAAATTTTAGACTGACCTAGGGGCTGGGACTAGGGATTGCATCTATTAAATTTCTCCATTTTAAAAGAAAATATTAAAATTACTGCCACTACAAACTTAAGTAATTAAGTAAGTAGTAATTAAAAAAAAGAAGGACAAGTACAGGTACTGCTTTACCTAAATCATATAACTTGTTTTATGAGCATTTAGAATTCAAAATTTATAATTTAATGCATAAATTTCAGGTGATGTTGGTCCCAGTGTTGGTAGGACACATGGTAAGCAATCAAATTACTTTAATTAGTACAAATTACAACTTACCAGAGAGATAACTAAGTTACTTCATGCGGCCTCTTTTGAAAACATCTGAAAGGACTGGGAAACACTTACCGACTGCAAGGCAGAACTGGAGCACATGGACAGCCCCCTCTTGCTTCAAGAAGTTCATGAACCGAAAGAGAAGGTCTTGCTGTTCTCTGATTTCCTTCAACTCAAGCTTTAGCACCTGGTGAGACAGAGAGAGAGCAGCGGTGAGGACAGAAGAGAGATCACAGTTGTGTTCCTCCGACTTCTTGTGAGGTGTGTCTCGGTGAGACCTGATATATGGGGCTAAAACATATGGAGTCTGCATGTTGTGATTACAGTATGTACTAGATACTATCACATACAGTATTCGGTGGCTTCTTCATGAAGTGGTACTTAGATGTTTTCAGAGGTTGTATGCAGTTCAAACAGCTGAGGAATCACTTTAATGCAACACTTACTGAGGGCTTTTTGTTGCGAGTATCAGAGTACTTTTGCAGGAAAGGAACCAATGTTGAAGCGGGCTCAGTGGCTTCCTCAGGCTTGAGCGAAAGAAGTAGATAGACAACATGTTTATCTTATTCACCCATAAATGATATACCCTCTGGAGCCATATGTTTAAAGACACAGATGTAGATGGAACTGTATGTACACATGAATTCAAAGTTCAACATATACTTACAGGGGATTTGTCGATGAATATCAAAAGTAAATGATTCACTGTGTCCTGAAATAAAAAAAATAAAAAAACAGCAGACAGTAAGTTTACAAAAATCATGCAGAACACTGTAGGTACTTTTGGTCCTGAAAAGGGCACATGTCTACCATTTGCATGCTCATGATAAATAACATTAATTGACATGCTTGCTAAACACAAATCAAACTGAGCCCTTAGTGTGTCTACACTCACAGGATCAGCCAAGTAGTCCATTGAAGGAAGGAAGACAGAACCAGCCAAGACTTCTCTTATTAGGAGAGTAAGAGATCTGAGAGGAGTGAAGAGATAAGGCAGCAGGAAACAAGAAAGTGAAAGAGTAAAGAATGGACCTTATCTACATGTGTATAGTGTCAATACTGCCAGACTTTCTCTTTGGGGGAAAATAAAGTACGCTGATGCTGTGATGTTTCGAGACACACTTTGACAAATACAGTATATTGGGGCACTGCACACTGCACAACTGTGAGTTACCTGCAGTCTGTAGCCTTGGGTGGCAGGATGTAGGGAAAAAGCATCTCAGTCAGCTTCCTGAGGTAGAGAAGCTCATCTCTGCGACCGCGAAGTGCTACATGAAGGTCAGGACCGTATTCCTCCAGGGCAGCTTGTTGGAGATATTCTGTGTTCTTTACTACAAAGGAGAGCAAAAAGAGTTCTTATGGTGAACACAAAGAAGACGAGTCAGTGGGTGATGCATGTCAGCAATACCTTTCTGCCTGGCTTTGCTTATTATTTCGATGTGCTTCATGGAAACTTTAAGAAGCTTTTGTGTGATGAGGGATGCCACGTCCACCTGAGGGAGAAAAAAATTATTGAAAATAATTCAGTCAATCAATATCTCAAGATCTTAACTTCACATGGTCTAATTTGTCACCTTCTGAGTTCGGCGGACTAACACGGCTGCAAAGAAACGCAAAGTCACTCTCAGCTCGTCAACAAACGCCTCATCATCCGTTACGTCTCTGAAAAAGAAACACTTAACAGTCACTTCACTATCTCTACATAACACATTATACTGCTTCAATTTATATTATGACAGAAAAAAATACAAAAAATTAGCTTACCTATACCAAGGATACACAAAATTTTCCAGAACAAGTTCCAGAATCTTAGAAAAGAACAAGATTTGATTAAGAGATAAATTGGTGATTTAATTTAATATTGATTTAAAAAAAAAAAAAAAGAAATATGTTAATGCGTATATTACCTCTGAAAGAGAAGCATCAACCTTTGAGGGAACTTTCAGGTCAAGCCATGGCTGATAGTTTTCCAGTAATAGGGTCGGTCTATCAAAAAAAAACAATAACATCACAGTATTGTACATGGAGAAAAGCATCAGAATCCTGTATGACCACTAGAGGGAGGTGTAACATTTTCCATAACTTAATGATAAACAACAGTGTATTATTGAGCACACTGAATGTGTGTTAACAAACCAAACGCAACAAAAGATTCAAGCAACGTCATATGGCCTAAATGCCTCACTTCATTGAATGACTCTTCTGCCAGTTTAGCTTATAATTTGCTTCCAAATTAATCACTTTATTTGATTTTTACCCTTTCTTTTACTAGCATAAGTAAACCTAGCATATTCAGTAGCATGGTAATGTACATAGTCATGTAGTGCTTGAGTTTATCTTTTCAGCATAACAGATGACACAAATTATAAGGTCACAATACAACACAATACAGTCACTTTCTCAGCTTATAACACCAAAACAATATAACTCACCTGTGCCTTTTGCATTTGATTTTTCCACAAACAGCACAGCTGTGCCCCAGTGGAAACAGCTCCTGCTGGTATGACTGTAAAAGAAAGTTCACAAAGATTAACTCCAGCTGCAAAAGAGCATTGATCATAGACAATTTGTGTCATATAGACTAAATATCAATATAAGTCAGCCAATAATCTTTGTTTAATTTATGCAATTTTCCAACAAAGTTCAGAGACACTGAGTATCAGCATAATACCTTGATATGGCTAAACATGCTCATGTCAATGCTGTTTTTTTCTTCAAAATTCACTATATTCCTTATATGTGCTATGTAAAAGCACCAAAAGACATTCCAAAAAATGTTTCCAAATTGTTCTGATCAAGGCTTAGAGTAAATTTTAATTTTGATAGTATCAGAGAATACCATTCAGTGATTCCTGATCCCTGACTTACCTTGGTCTTTGGTTTGATGGAGACTAAGATGTTGGGCAGCAAAGACTCGGGCCCCAAAGAGCAGTAAAAAGTGACAACTCCAGCCAGGAAGGACCAAAACACCATTATAATCTGAATATATCTGTGAAGACAGAAGACATATACAGCGATTACCTGAGTCAAAACATCAAAGCACTATTGGAGAATAGTGTCGGGTGTCATATATGAAGTAGCATAGATAAAGTGATATAACTACTGTGTACTTACCTGTTTAAAAGAACAGTGGATAGCAGCAGGACCAGCAGCAGAAAGCAGAAGACTGGATACTGTCGGCCCAGCTCTCTGAGCCGGTCCAGCTTTATCCTGCGTCTTATTTTCTGCACATAAGCCCTGATGCATCCCATTTTCGCCTGTGCATATGTAGCCTACTGCATATTACTGTAAAATAAATGACACATTATGAAGTAACTGTCTTCATATAAATAATGGCGTCTCGCAGCGATACAGAGCACAATCACCTCAAAATCATGTCTTTTTGAGTGACCGTTTTGTTTAACATAGCAAGCAGGTTGCAATGGTTTTATTTATCGACTCCAGCACTTACTTACTGTACGGGTACGGTGGATGTTATGGGCCATTTTTCACTGTAGTCCGGCAGCGACACCATCGTGAATTTGCAGAATAAATACGCAGGCTGCCTGTTTTTTAGGATTCAGCGTAGGATAAGCGAGATGCAGCATACAGCTGTAAACCACAGAAGGATTAGTGGTAATTACGCAGCATCAGCTGTGCACAGACCGTCGTAAAACTCCGGTAGGCTAGTGTTTGGCTAATGGCTGCGGTGCTCCAGCTGTCATTTCTGTCCACTGAGGGGCAACGGTTGCTGCCTGGCTGTCTGTCAGCGGCGGAGGCGCATGATGTCACCTCCGCTGCGTTTCCAGGGGCAGCTTGAAAAATACTGTCTCCGGTAGTTTGAAGACGAACAGGTTTATCGGCGGCATTTATCCTCATATAAGCCATGACACACGGACGAGGTGTCCCAAATTTACAAGTGGTGGTCGCGGTAGGAGTGGCGCTCCTCCGCCATGCCGAGTTTTTTTTAATTATATTCTAAAATAACAGACTCGCAGTGATAATATGACTGTAGGGTTAATAACTCACTGTGACAATTTACTTGAGAAAACTACACACGGAAAGTAAGAGTCTTTATCAGTTTTAGGTTTTTGTTGGTTAGTTAACGTGGAAACGATCTGTGGTTTAGCGGCCAATTAATTAGTTCCGCTGTAGCAGCCACATCACTGCAGTTGCTATGGTTACATGCAGATTTATAACCGTTACTGCCGAGCGTTTAGATCTTGGACTTAGACTTCATTTAAGTACTCAATACTTGCGGTCTCATATCCAACTGCAGTTTTATAGCAATAAATTGTTTGTTCACAAATAAGTTAATCGAGACTTAAATATATTAAAATAAAGCTAAACATCAAAATCCTCGTCTCAAGGGTAGTGTTAATATCAACAATTTACACAATAATGGCAAATTATAAAGAAACAATTAAGTTCTTAAATGTCATTGAAGGACCCACCCAACTGCTCTCCAGCCCATGTATGTATTGAAATATTTTTAAGGCTTAGGCATACTTACCAACTCAGTTTATGCAAGTGAAAATGGGAAACAAATAACTAACCTAAATTGCCCTCTTCTTATTCCCTTTAAATAGACAATTTCACAGCAGTTGCTAGAAATGACATAATAGAGAAAGAAAAGTGTAATTAATATTCAGCTTAGTTCTGTCTGTTTCAAGGCCCCAGAGTTGTACGTATCACATTTATGGCTTCCTGAACTAAGTCATTATATCCTACACATTTTATTCCTGCCTTGACTAGAAATGTCTGATCTGAGTAGTCTATTAAATTTTATTATTACATTATAATAATAAGAGGGCATATGGGTCTGTAAAAACCGGATATAACATCACTGTAAATTCCTCTTTGTAGGCCTTTGTCATTTAAAAAGAATATCAAATTTATCCCTTTCCTGTTGTTAGAGATTGAAATGAAAACAGCATTTTAACCAATAAGATTAACAATTCCTCACATTACATGAAGAGGAATTTAAAATCACTGAAAGTATCTCAAAAGTAGGTAGTTTGAAAGACAGACCTGTCACTAGTCAACCAAATACCAGCCAATGAACAGAATAGCATTTACACCTCATGAGGATTTTATCCAAAGAGTAGGACACAGATAGAAATCAAAAACTTTATTACAAAAATAAGTTACACTCACCTCCATTTTACAGTATAAAACAATTTATTTGCAGGAATGCAAAAAACGTTGTTGGCCACCAACAATAGTTTAAAACTGCTAACATCTTTTTTTCAAAAGGTGGTTGTTATGATTTTATTGAGGGAGTTAACTGTATAGAAAACTGGGATTGACAAGCACAGTTTCCTTTTTGCTATACCTGGAAATAGAAATCATTCACTGCAGTATCCCTTCTACCACTATGTGACCATGATCCCTCACCAAATCATAGCAGCTAACGTTAGGCACACATGCTCACTGGCTGGGCAATATGGCAATTCAGTCATCGATCAAGATAAACTCGAAAGATCTTCTATATAGTTGCTGTCTTGGGAGCTGGGAAGGGATCATTTAAGATTAACATGATCTTACATGATGGATTGGATTAGGTTGTTTAACATTATTCTGAAGTTGTTTGAAAATGTATTGTTATCAATATAAAAACAAACCCACTGGAATAATACAGTGGCACAAAAGGGACACTGCAGGGCTTTATTTTTGTTTTTTATTTTTTTGTTTTTTTTGTTTTTTTAAATCAAAGGCAGTTGGATGCCTGTGATGTTGAAGCCTTTACAAAAGTAACATTTTATCCGAAAAACTATACAACCAGTAACTACATACTCTGAAGAAGCAAGGCGGCTAATTCAGTTCAAAATAGGATAAAAGCAGGGCTTGTTCAGACTCATCATATGAGATTGTTTTGCATGCCCAGTTTGACTGTTTGCAGTGTCAGAGCTGCAGCTAAAATGACTATATTACATTAAGTACATCGTTTTTGCGCTGCAGCTCTTGTGCATATTTTGTATGAAAACAAGCCCTGCTTTCATCAATATAGTTTCCCTATTTACAGTACAGGCCGGGTAGTTTAGTCCTCTGTACTGAGGTAGTCAACCAACCCTTTAAAGACAAGTTCTGAAAAGAACCACTTTCCTGGAATGCCTGACTTATCCATGCCAGGTGGGTACACCCTAAAAACCTGCAAATGTTCTCTTTCAAACATCCAGATCAAACGATTAAGATTTACATGGATATTCCGACAATAAAAATTGCGATTAGCACAAAAATATACAATAGCATCAAGCTCCTTTGAGCCACTTCAAACCTAAGAACTTAAAAAAGTGCAAATTCTTCAATAATTATTTTAAAAATGGCATGTTCAGGGACAGGGAAGGGGTAGATTGTAAGGGCAATACATAGAGCCCTGTATATCAGGGCTGGATACAGGGACTCGGGGCAAAGAGGCTGTGGCGAGTATTCAGAATCCTCCGGTCATCTTTTTAAGGTGGCAGTTTCAGAAAAAAAAGAAAATAAAAACATGGGGGAAGGGGTGATGCTTCTTCTGTAAGGCTGGAATATCATTGGACCTTTTTGTCGTGCTCTTTTTTGTTTCAACATCCATTGCAGCTTACGGTGTTAACCCCACACATCAAGTCAGTATCCACTGTGACAGGTCAGGACCGCCCTCGGCCTCGTTTCCCTGCTGGACCAACGAGAGGAAAGATATAATTAGTATAACAAACCCATGTTGCATGCATTCCCTATCAATCAGCAAACTGACAAATTAATGAAATTCCACAAAATTCATACTGAAGTCAGCATTCTCCCACAAGGGTGGGACTCAGCTGGCCTCCTTAAAAATACAGTATGTTATGAATGACCTTTGTCTGCTGGCAGCAACAAGCTGACTGGCTGCTCTGAAAGATGACACCTGTCAGGGATTAGTTATGAGGCCAATAAGCAGGTGTAACTTTTTAAATTTAAAAGCAAGGTGTGTGTATTTTTTACAGCCTTCTCATTAGTAACATCATTTCAAGACAATCAATACCTTCATCATGTGAGGTCATCCTCAATATTTCCCCAACTAAAGCTGCTTTCACTTTCAAATTTACTGCAGCCCTCCCAAACATGTCATTCTTGTGAACTTTGTTCTCCGATGACTGACCCTTGGCATCGGAAATATACTGGCACCAAGACTGAGCTCAGTTGGTCATTTTTCAGGACTTCTAAAAATCCCTGACACAAAATGAAGTCAGCCACGTAGCAACTTCTTTCGGTAATGAACAGTAATTTTGTGGAACAGCAAAGTCAAGCTTTATTAGTCACCACTGTGTGACTAATGTGATCTTACTCACTTTGAAACTAACAGTTTCTCGCTGTGAAAAATGTCATTTACCTCTGCTTGTTCCAGGGCCTCCTCGCTGGGAGAAGCCGAGCCGGCCCCTTGGTGTGACGGAGCCGCGGCCTCTGGTCTGACTGGCACCGCCACGGACTCCCCCCCTCGCTCCTCGTCCTCTCCCAGACCCCTGGAAGTCCTCATAGCCATAGTACGGGTCATCATAGCCACCCCGGTAGTTGTGGTAATCGTATCCATAGTAATCGTAATAGTCTTCATAGCCATAATAATCAGGAGGGTAAGAATAACCTCCACGCCCGCCTCGGCCTCTGCCTCTTGTGGGTGGTGGCATGTGGGGAGGCCCGTAGTAATAGTATTCATCATACCTGAAAAAGGATACACGGGCTCAACATAAATATGGCTTCTTGCTTTATATCAACATTTAAATTTGGTAACTGGTTGCATTGTTTCCTCTTACATTTGTGTTTTAGCGGCTTGTCTCTGGGCTTTGCGCTCTTTCCTCTTCTGGTCAGGGGGCTTGGCGAAGACGATTTCAATGTGCTCTCCTTCGAGGTCTTTGCCATTGAGATCAGCCAGAGCCTGTGAAATTAAAGACAAGATTCTATGATGAATCTAACTGCAATGACAAGTTTAACTACAAGATAGGATGGTCTTCTGTGTCATTATATAGACGGTTTTTCCCCCATACCTTCACAGCACCATCTCTTTCCTCGAAGTGGATGAAGGCATAGTCTTTCAATTTTTTGACCCGCTCCAACTTTCCAAACTGACTAAAGGCCTTTTCAAGTATCTCCTCTGTAACAGTGCTCGCTAAGTTCCTCACAAACAGCACCTTGACCTGGGAAACGATAAACAAGGTTTAGCTTTCTTACAGAAAACAGAATATGTACAACACAAATTTTGGCCACATACACACTTCTCGACTGCGCCTCACCTTGGCCATGACCTCTGGGTCAGGGTCCTCGATAGGATCTGCCCATTCCACGGTGACCACATTTCCCCACACCTTCACCTTGCCGCTCATCAGCCGGCGACGGGCCTGAGCTGCTGTCTTGTGGTCTTCATACTCCAGGAAGCAAAAGCCTCTATTCTTCTTCTTGTCATCTGGCTGGTGGTACAATATGACATCATTTAGACCCTCTGTAGAAAACAGAAACAGGAGAGGGGTGGGGGAAAAAAGAGCAGGTGGTTAAGTGGCTTTAATTAATATAAAAATCACTTTTACAAGATGACTTACCAACAAACTAGTAACAGCAAATCTGCCATTAGAATCAGTCACAAATACAGAATACAGTAAGATAACATCATTTAAGATAAAAGCTGTAGAGTTTAAATAAAAAACTAATGATCAAAATTGTTTCATTTTTTCGGTAAAGCAGACATACAGAGAAATTACGACTTAACATTGGATGTTAAAAAAAAAAAGAAAAAAAAAAA